TATTCTATTCAGGATTTTTAATTCTATTCTATTTGTATTCTATATTTTTTATTTGTTTTTAATAAAAGTTCCTGAGCGTTTGAAATCAAAATGATATGATTTTTTAAAACACTGACTTCGGTCTTTATCAATGATCTGATTTTTTTAAGACTGATTTCGGCCATTCGGTCATTCGATCATTCGGTCATTCAGCCATTTGGAAATGATTTTTTAAGACTGACTCGGAAATGATCTGTTCGTAATTCAGTCACATGTTTGTACATTTCACGTGGATCATAAATCACGTGCCCGGACATTTTTCTTCGCCATGGCTAGGGTACTTTCAGATTTCTATCATGCAAAATTACTAACTATGTGTGGTCAATACATAAAAAATAAATCACATAATACATATATTCTTCTGAACTGAGACTCGAATATACCCTCATGCGTCTGAGGATCAATACGTATAACAAACAATCCTGGGCTTACATGACTTTGGATATGACTTCGATTCAGTTACCAGAATTTTATTCTGCGCTAATCATCATATAATTGAAATTATTTTCTAGAGTGAACTTCAATTATTACCTTTAATGACAATCCAAGAAGCTTTCGGTATTTGTCCGAATTAGATGCGTATGAAGGCAAAACTACTGAAATCGATTGATGTAATAATTGTCTTAAAGTTTCTTTTGCGATCCATGCTTCTTCGTTCATTACTTGAAAAATCACCGAAAACGTTGTAATATGCTCTGGAGATGCGATGCGAAGAAAATTGCAAATAGTATCATATAGTGTAGACATGTTTATGTATGTTAGAACAAAGTACAAGTAAAAAGAAATGACAAACAATCACAATGTAAATATACTGTTCTTGTAAAACGTTCCCTCCGCTCATTTCTACCCCATTTAGGTATGAGAAGTAGTAGATTCGGCCCTGTAATAGATTTAGGAATGTGAAATTCGAATGATGTATAATGAAAACAAACTTTTCACAAAGAAAATGCTTATGGTACAATCAGCGATCCGAAAAGGAGTAAAACGAGTGCTAGGTGTTATTGTTGGGTTATTAAAGGATCGGATAACGGTTGATAATTCCCCTGCCAGTAAGAGGGCCAGAATTAAAAAGATTACCAAAAAATAATGGGCATATAGTTTACCCGCCTCATGTATTTTTTATTGTATTAGCGTGAGCGAGCCTTCGGCTAATAAAGCAATCAGGCCCAAATAGTCTTTTTTCCGATAATTAATTTTTATGTGTGATATTTTCCTCCGAATTTATTTTTATTTTTCTTGGCGTTTACACTTCCTGAACTAAGTTCAGTGATTTTTATCACGTGATTTATATCTCTACGATAAAGAATTGAATGTCTGCACCTTATATAAAACGATGGCAGACACACAATATACAATTGTTTCGCTAAGAGAATTAAATACCAAGCTTACAGTTGAGATTAGCGAACTAAGAAAGAAGTATGCTGAGCTTGAAGCTAATAATATCGAAGTCGAAGC